GGTTGAATAAGAGTCTGACCAAAACATTTTTTATATAGATGTTTTAATTGTCTGTTTTCTATTTGACTTTAAAACATCATTGATTGTATTTCATTTCATTCTATATATATTTTTTTCCTGTTTTCTAAAGTATCTTTCTGCACAAATATAAGTGGTAACTAAAATTATTTCACACACATAATTATTATTTCTTACACTATAAGTCAAGTTTAAGCCTGTTTACTGGATCAACATGTAAACAACGAGTGTTCGTACACAGACTGGAAAGGCGGCGAGAGAAACTTCTACAGAGGTAGCAAAGACTCAGCATCAAACATCAACGTGTGGGCCCCGACGAGCTGCTTCCTGTCGCCTTCGCTCTTTTGTTTCTGTCCCTACACGTCGTCGTCGGGGTCAGCTCGGCCGCACAGGAACATGCAGCCGAGGACGCAGCACCCGCCGATCAGGAAGACGGCGAGCAGGATGTAGACCAGGGTGGTGGTCCAGAAGGCAAACAGGTATAAAGTTTTATTACAATAGGAACCTATATCTGTGGAGTTCTTGGTGTAGTTGGGCTGGTAGATGGAGTAGATCCACACATTACCTGGAGGGAAAAACACAGACATGGTGGTATTTTATGTTAATATGTTTTAGAAAGTATCAGCAGGGAGGTTACATGTAAAGAGTCCAATTCACAGACACTCAATAAACCGGGTATTTTATCTGACTTTATCATTCATTCTCTATCTATCCCTTCATTTCTGTGGAGACAGTATATCTTCATTATCTCTGGCCCTCTCTTTTATATTCTAAGAGAGAATCAATCAGGCTGCAGGGGCTCAAACTCACCAGCAATAAACCAGCAGAAGAGGAAGAAGGAGCTCAGAGAGTTCCAGGCGGTGCAGACTCGACTGAGCGGATTCGTGGTCCCATCTTTGGGCTCCTGAGCGCAGGGCAGGCACGACAGCACGGACAGCACCAGACCGAAGACCCCCACCACGATCAGATAGATGGGGATGTAGTGCTGCCGCGGACAGTCATCCAGGTGTGTCGCACCTGAAGGAGAACATCAGATTTGTGGTTTCACATCAAAATACTCTTAAAATGTCTGTAGGTCTAAACGTGCATCAATCACTCACCGATTGCAATCTGAGCGATGGGCATGACACAGAGGAACAACTTTGAACATCCTGACAGAACAAAGAAAACATGTTGAACCAATGGAGACTTTCTCTTTCTCTATGCAGCTTAAACAAACAGGCCTGAGTGAGTGTGACTCTGATTGTCAGTTAGTCTCACCTAGGATGAGTGGGGGGGGGTTGAGGAGGTCTGCGGATGTGTTGAACAAGTCTGCTGTTTGACATTCTATAGCAGGACTGTAGAAGGACTTTAACCTTAAGAAGAAGAAGACACAGACGTGGTTAAAAACATGACGAGAGCTCAACATTCTTTTATATATAAACTGATGATTGAAGTTCACACAATAGTCAAAGATCTTCTCCCAACATGTTTTTCTTATTCATGGAGGGAACTTTTTTCATAGAAGACTGTGTTTAAATTAAAATAAGCTGAAATTAATCACAAGTTAATAATCATTTACTATGAATCGGTTACTACCTTTATAATTTAACTGTATTTATTCATTTTTTTATTTGGATCCCCATTAGACCCAATAACAGGCAAAGTACAAATCAAGAGATGAGTGCCTTTTTAAGCAAACATGTCGACATTTTCTAGGTTTTTTTTTTTTTTTTTTAAATGTTTAGCTCCAAAAAATGTGTCATTTACACTTACAGGAGATTATTCTTCATTTATTAGAAAACAGACAGCAGAAGAACCTGTTCTGATAATAAACATTTTAGATGCATCCACGTTTAAATAAAAAGGAAAATATATCAGCTTCCAAAATAAGAGAGGTTCTGTCATCTGCAGGTGAGATTCTACTGACAATATAACAAGAGCAAGGATAAAGATTCAGCTCAGTTCTAGTTTAAAGGCTAATAACTAAATAAAAGTGACAAATTCTGATCGGAAAATAGCACCGAACAATTCTCCAAAGCCACAGATGAAGTCATCTAGTTGCCAATGTTATCTCCACCATGAAGTCAAACACTCAGACTTACATTCTGCCCTCCAGGCCAGAACGAGGAAGTATGTGACATTCTTCCTTTAGGGAATGGTATTTCACTACTTACAACATAAGAGACAAAAATGTAGCCTTACAAGCTTTTTTGGTTCCAAATAGAGCTGAATCGTTTTGTTTCAGCCCCCAGTGATGTTTCAGCTTCTGTGTTGGGCTAGAGTCTACAAAGTAAAATAATCAGAGGTGTGGAGTTGAACTTTTTGACCGACCCCTCCTGCTCTCATTGAGGCTTTATTTACTGCTATAACCATTAGCCTACATATCATTATAACTACTCTTTTTCTAACTTCAATTAATGACATCCTCTTTGTAGATTCTAAACCTCCAACACAGCTGTGCAATGACTAAATTACCCATGATGCAACTGGAAAGAGTCAGTCAATTCATGCATGATTCCTCTTGATTGTCTATTTCTTTCAGAGGAATAAAAGTACTATTGAAGACTTTTTCGCCCAAATAGTTTACTGTGTCAAGCCCAGGCTGAAAAACCTTGATGACATCAGTACGACATCATCACGGTTTTATTCATTTATTTATTTATTTACATTAGAGCCACATAAGACATTTCCAAATCAGCACAAACAAACAGCTCGAACATGCTGCTCCTTATTCAACTGATTTAATCACGGGTCAGGGCCCTTCTCTCATCTCTGCCTAGATTCAATTTAGGTGAAATGCCATGCACTGACTGAAAACATGAAAACAGGGAACGTATTGACACAGTTATTGTTCACACACAAACAGTATGTTATTTTTAAGACTGTGATTAACACACTCTTTCATTTACTGCAAAGAGGTTTGACTGCATTCCCATCAAAGCCATTGGCCAATTTGACAGGAACACGATCAACAAGAAACTACATGTACACACAATATACTTGTGAAAAGACCACAGAAAAGGGACGTTTAGAAAGAATAAAATACACAAAATCTGTGAAGCCTAAATGAATACTAGAATTGATCAACTGCTTCAATTAAGTGGGGGTAACTGGGGGTATACCTGCGACTTTAAAAACTTTCTACTTCGGGAAGTTTCGAAAGAGAAATTAGAATGTTTAATGATTGAACAAACCCTCAGTCATCATAAACAGGGTAAAAAAACAAACCAGAAGAGATTACAGGTAACCACAGCCTCGCCTTTAACTTGTAAGAGTTCCCAACGCTCGCGCCCCGCCCCGCTGTCGCACCCACGTAAAGTCAACATCTGCTCGCAAAAGCTGTGCTTCGTTAAACAAATAAAACAGCACCAAAAAAAAAAAAAAAAAAAAAAGTAACCACAGAAGACAGAAATGAGATGTATGAAAAGTCACAGCTTCCAATGATATCCCCCATTTCGCTTACCTGAAGTTTTCTCTCCCCGTGCCTGCTGCTGTGACTCTGGGCTGCTGACAGTCAGCCGCTCCTTCAGGAGGTGCCAAACCTCCACCTCTCACGAGTGCGCATGCGCATGCTCAGAACGCGTTCATGCTATCTCCTGAAAGGTACAGTAACTGACGGCAGCTTGTCAGGGCAGCAGAACTCTGTAGGGACACTTTTTTGCTCTTTTGACAAAAGCAAAAGTCATGCATGCTTTACTAAATTTAAAAAAATATTATTTTTAAATAAAGTTTCAAAAGAAAAGATACACACACTATGTAGAGCGGCCCATTAAAGATGTACTATTTAATTCTTATTATAGGCTTCCATTATATAAACAAGAATTTATTATAACAGCTAGTTAAAGTGGAGCTAATTTCTTAGCCTACTCTGTGCACTGCAAAGTAGTTTTTACAAAGTTAGTTTTATACCATTTACACTACAACATAATGCTGATTATACTTTTTATTATTCATTTCATTTATAAGCAACTAAAGTTATCAAAGGAAAACAAGGGGAACACAAAGTTTCAGAGAATGTAAATACTTAAGATAAGTAAAAGTACCTTTTAGGGTTGACTGTCCATGAAGCCCTAATTTTCATAAACCTCTCAATTTGAATAGTGTAACACATGTTCAGTGTTCAGTTCTTCCCAACCCGGGGGATTGTGCCCTTTTCTTTTGAGATAATGCATGTTTCCAGTTGAAGACATCTAAAAACCCTCAGGTAGTCTCAGAAAAGTCTCATAAGTCAAAATAATGTCAATGCTTTGACACACAGAGTCAAATGCAGGTCACAAAAAAGATACGTACTGATTAAGTTTTTCCACACTTATTACATTTGAATATTTAAGGGTGTGAAGTGTTGAAGGCTCCGAGTCTACTTTATGAACAGCTAGCTACGCAGCAGTTAGAAACTCCATTTGGAGTTCCATAAAGCCGACCGCGTTTGACAGTTTTAACACAGGTGATGGAAGTTTATAATCCTTCATTTGAAAAGCAGCAGTCAGATGTTACAGGCTCAGACTCGTGATAAACAAATACTTTCAAATGAGGAGAGATAATGGTTAATAGAGCAGTCACTTATTTTATTTTCTGTGTATAGTTTGCACTGTAAAAGAGTGAGGACACAAGCTGTGGTGGATAGTAATATGAGCTGTATTAATGTTGCAGTAAAGTGCTGTATCTCCATAAATAAAGTATTTTGTAAAAGAAATCAAATATTTTGTGCTCATTTCCTAAGTGAATTTTATTTAGGACCAACACCATATCTCAAAATAAAACATTTGGGATAGCATCACCTTGTGGGGAACATCTGGGATTGTATCTTATATCTAAAGATATGACGCCATCTAAAGTTCTTAAATTGAATAAAGAATTGTTCAGGAATGTAAAGAAATCTCTTGCAGCTGAATGATGAAGTGAAAGAGCTAAATATTAAAATTATAAAACAATTGAAAAGCCCAAAATAAACAAATAAATAGACTATAATAAGTATTTATTTCAAGTCATGGTTATGAAATATAAAAAGGAAAGTTACATCAAAAAACGTTTCTTTAAACATAATTGCAAAAGTTATTTTTTCATGTAGATTCAAGAATACAAGCAGGGGCGTGTCCAGACTTTTTCAACTGGGGTGGCCCAAAAGAGACTCAGACTTATGCAGGGCTGGCCTGAAGTTTGTGTGCACAAACGAACAAATAAAAAGCGAATAAATGTCCTATGTATCATTTCCTAACTTTAAAAAGGGACACAATAGAGCAGCAGTTTTAAGGTCTTCTTAGCTCAAGTCTTCAGGTACTCATAAATAGGATGCATGACAAAAGTCACAGTTTAAAGTTCTTAAAACATGCAAACAACTGTTTAAATTTTCCTGTGTTATGAAATAGAAGTGGTAAATGGTAAATGGACTTTTCTAGTCTCTTGACTACTCAAAGGGATTTTACACCACAGGTCACACCTACACATTCACACACTGATGGCAGAGGTTGTTATGTATAGTGACCATCAATATTAACTAATCCTATTCATACGCTGCAGCTGAAGCAGCAGGAACAACTTGGGGTTAAGTGCCTTGCCCAAGGACACATCTGACATGTTGCTGCAGGAGCTGGGAATTGAACCCCCGAACTACTGGTTGAGAGATGACCCACTCTACCTCTGAGCCACGGCTGTGGAGGGTATTTCTCTACAATTTAAAATATTTACAAAAAAAGGTGCTACATGTAAAAGTAACGAAACTACTAGCAGCCTGTTACACCAAAGCCAATATCATTCATTTTTGCCTACGTCTGGCAAGTCAAAAAGCCAATCATTGTTTAGGGGTGGCTCCTGGGGTGGCCAACTAGATTTCAAGGGGGGCCCATGTCACCCCTGGATACCCCTCTGGACACACCCTGCATACAAGTAACATTAATAATCATTAAAAGCACAATGTAAAGAACAGTATCGTATAATTTAAAGGAACAGAACTCCAGCAGTAAGTGAAAACATTAGACAGCAGATCTGATCTTAAAATGATTACACACAAAAAAATATGTAATTTGGCAGCAGTTTGACTGACTTTTTCTGACTGCTGATGTCAGAAAAGATGTGCACCTGTTTATCTGACCAGCAGATCACCACAAAATATTGTTTGGATAAAATGAAGTTAATTTACTCCATTTCAAACTGCCCTGAGATTTATTTCTTCCAGTTTTAGTGTAAAGAAGCAGCACCGTTGTTGTTCATATTCCTAGGAACGAGTGTAGTGTTTGTCCTGTATCTTTGAAAGCACCTGAGAGGACTGCATAGTGACCACATATTGTTTTTGTCATAAGTCTGTGAGACAGACGCTGGAGGACGTCTCAACATAAACACACCCTCTGTGTCCTGAACGTGATTGGCCGCGTCGTAGATCGACCACGTGGCTCCGACTTTTCTCAGACTCGGCCGTCTTGAGCCGAGCTCCGCCGAGCACCGAGTCCCACAGCAGACCTCGGCTCCATAACTGCCCACAACAAGACAAAGAATGAGTCTGACTGTGTGACTTTGTGTGTGTGTGTGTGTGTGTGTAGTAGAGGAAACATAAATGTGTCAAACCTCTATAGAGATGTGTGTGTTTGGGCGTCTCCTGTAGAAGATGGCTCTGAGGTTGAATTCAGGGTTTCCCTCTGCCTTGAAAACTCGTGTTCGTATGGTGTCATTCTCACAGCGCACAACTGCATAAACATCAGGAGCTGCTGAGCATAAGACACAACGCATACATTTTTAATCAAGAAACAAGAACATCATATCTTGGAAGTGGTAATCATCAATAATTTATCTCGCAATATCCCGCCTTAAACTGGCTATGTGAAAGAGGAGCCATGTGATAATGGATGTGAAGCTGCACCAGCCCACCTGACTGTTTGGGATAGTTGATTCCAGTTGCCCTGCGGAGATGGACTGTGGTCACCACTGAGGGTTGAGGTAGAAAACAATGGAAGACGGAGGGAGATGGCAAGTCCTCCTTTAGTTCCCTACGCAGAAAAAAAGAAAAATATCCCAAAATGAGTGACCAGAAGGTAAAAGAGGATCGAAATCCGATGAGCTTCAGAAACTGTTTGCCAGTATCACACATGCACATTTGGGCCTAATACACTTTTATTGGTACTTTGGTAAAGTTGTAGTGCCAAGTAGGGCTGGGAACCTTTGGGTGTCTCACTATTCGATTCAATTTTGATTCTTGGGGTCACTATTCAATTCAGAATCCATTTTCGATTCAAAACGATTCTGGATTCATTGATCCATGGATTCAAAGTCTTTTTATGAATTAGTACATCTGTGTGACTGGCTAAATCAAAGTTAAATCTTAGAAGAGAAGAATCTCTATTTTCACACAAATCGTTTTTTTGCCAACTTGTAGTGCATTAGCGCAACACTCGTGCAAAAATGGTGCACAGAAATATGAAAATTGTGTATTTTTCATTCCAGTTCAAGACTTTCCTGTATCAGCCATAAAAGCAGAATTCTTTTTTTTTTTTTTCTTCTTGCGCTCTAAAATCAGTCAGCTCAAACATGCACCTGAGTCGTATGCATGAATGGGAGAAGAGACGTAGCAGGAAGCGTCCAGTGGTTCCTGGCAAGAAGGTGGTGGGCAGCACGACGTAGCCACCAGGAGCCAGGGTCCCCCTCAGCGTCACACTGCGGAGTCCATGTAGACGGAGCTGGCTGCCTGCTCCACCACACACTGCACCCTGCTGCTGCGGTTCACCTCCACCTGAGACACAACAAAGGCATGGACAGTGATTTATGTGTTGTGTGTCTGTGGAAACTGCTTGTATTGTGTGTTCACATTTCTGTTTTTAATCTGCTCACCTTTAGCACCTCAAACCCAATCGGCAGGTTTTCTCCTCCTCCATCCTTCCTCCATATCCTCCTGTCCTCCTGCTGCAGACAGATCAGCATCTCCTCCTCTTTGCCTGTCACCTCAAACATGAACTAGAGAGCAAGAAATCATTTTCAGAAATTAAAAAAATGATCCCACAATGCATTAAAATGTCCTCTTGAGTTGTACCTGTGGATTGTGCAGGAAAGTGTCCCTGTGGTTGATGCATCCTCCACATCGACTCCTCTTATCCACCTGTGCCTCCCATCCTCCCTGCTCTCCTCCATCATCCTCCTCTCTCGCTTTCTTCACTGCCATGTCTCGTCTCTCTCTCTTCCCACCCTGCTGCTGACTCTCCCCGAGTCTGGCCTCTTTCCTGTTTCCTCGCTGTTTGGTCCCTCCAGGTTTGGCGCTGCTCTTCCCCAGACTCTGCTGGTGGCTGACATGGAGGACGGCAGGTTGGAGGTTTGTTGAGGAAATGGGAGGAAGAGCCCACTCCCCGTAGCAGCGCTCTTCTCTCCAATGAGAGCGTGGCCACAGCAGAGTCCTCTCCACCAGCCGGCAAACGACGACATCTGTGAAGTAGTGACAGAAATCCTGGAAATCCATCCTGAGGAGCAGAAGAGACCATTTAAATGTACGAGAGTAACAAACATCAGGTATAGATTTTTTTTCCTCCTATTTTTGTTGTACACTTTGGTATAATTTCATTTTTGGGATCAGCTCACAGGGTCTAGATTTATTGTCTTGTTTTGTTTTGCTCCTTCCTATTTATTATTATATGCCCACACCAGAAAAAAAAGCAACTACTTTACTGGAAGTTACTGGATATACTAACAAATATTATAGATTAAAGAAAAATACCAGAACTCCCCAACGTCCCGAACAATAAGCCCCGTCTTCTCCCTCTCCGCCCGACTCATCTGCTGCCACTGCTGCGACCTGCAGGGGGCAGTCAAGGACAATGATATCAGAACCAGCAGGAAGTAATGCCAAGCTACATATTGCAAATGTCATATAAAAACAGAAGTTGTGCTTCAACTTCTGGAAAACTTTAAAGGTCCATGTTGGAAGCTTTCTCATTCCTTAAAAATGTAAATGGCAGATGTCAGCTCGTAAAAAAAAAAAAAAAAAAAAAATACAACACTGCTGTAAAATCTTAGAAAATGTCCCAAAAAGAGTCGTCAGTGGAGGTTTTGCTCCCACTGCTCCTGCAAACTTTTTAATGTACTCAGCAGATGAAGAGGAGAGACCATCACCCCTGACTCCAGGCACCCGTCCAGTCTGTGGTCCCCCACGGGTTCCTCATGCGCACCATGAAGAGTCGACACACCTCGCCATTCTTCTGCAGCGTCTCTCCCAGCCTCACTTTTCTCACCGCTGTGATCCCGTAGGCGTGTCCTCTCACCAGACCGCAATCCAGCACTGACTCCACCGACTCCCCCTCTGCCGGCTGAAGAATAGGTCGAATACACTCGATTAAGATTTTAGCTGCAACATTTCTAACGTGTCATTGCATTTCTGTAGTGGTCCTACCCGTATGGAGCAGGTGATGAGGGCTTTGCGTTCGTGTGCTTTAGCCAGAGTCTGGAAGAACGCCCTCCTCTGTTCGCAGTGCCGTGTGAGGGCCTTTCGGTCCAGACTTAGGGGCTCCGAAACCCCTCCAGTGAAGTCGATCAGAGCCTCGGCAGTGTTTCCTCCCTCAAGGGCCTCATAGCAACCGTTCAGCCTAAAGAGCAACCATTTAGACATGCTGAGGGATTGATGGATTCTCCAGCTTCCATGTTTTCCAAGGAAAAAGTAGAACTTTACGATATTTGAAGTTCAATTCTGAATGAGAATGTATTCTCTAAGTGGTGGCACATCTGGTTATGAAGATGTTAATCTAAGAGGTTCGAAAAAAGGTGATAAATGGATGGATATAGTGTTCTAGGAATTGGCAAGATTTTAGCTATGGTCCAGGCTATTTTTGGTTGTTGCTGAATTTTTGTCTGAACCCTTACACTGGACAAGATCACCAATTGGATACAACTTCAATGTTAAAGACCAGTGGGTTTATTTACATCTAGGTTCATATTTTGATAATGAGTGTTTTTAAAAACAACTTACCATGGAAATCACAGTCGTTGCAAGATTAGGGAAAATATTATGGCAATGGTAAATAAACTTTTGGGTATCTCTAACTTTTGCAGGCTTAGGGATAGGAATAAGATAAGTTAAGATGAACTGATTCCCCATTGGGGGAAATTAAGGGGAGATAGCCATGCTTGCATATTCTTTAAAAAACGTGGGTTAGGGTTTAGGGGCGGTGGGCTAGGGAAAGATTATGTTCAGGATTTGAAGAAGAGTAAAAAGATTTAGCTTTCATCAACACAACTTTGGGACTTTCCTAAAGCTTCGAAATAAAGGAACCATTGGTCATTGGGATTGCTTCTTATCTTTAATCCAAAAAAAAGTGTAGAACAATGTCACTTTTGGCATTTCTGTCCCTTCTAGGATGTACTGTGTTTCTGTAGTTTTTTAATACTTGTGGCACAGGATGACAAAACATGAAGTAGAAATAAGATTGAGAAGAGATTGAATGTTTCCAGTAGTAGCAGTTTCAGTTTCCATAGAGACAAATCTTCTCACTAACTTCTAGTGTAGAAGATCTACCAGACTCCATTGCCATCACTTAAGGGTTCAGTATTTGCCGAGGCGACTCACTTTGCGTAGGCCTTCTCCAACAGGGCGCTCCAAAACTCCCGAGGTGTAGCCGAGCGGCAGAAGAGCAGCGCTCCATCCCTGCTGACAGGCAGGCGGTCGTCCACAACGACATCCAACCACCTGCCGAGGCGCCAGAACCGGAAATGAAAGATCCCCGCGTACAGGTTGAGGTTCTTTGGATTCCACTCCTGATCCATGTGGTCAGGGATCACCTGAGGTGGAGGGAGATGAAGCCACAAAGATAGAAACAAGGAGCTAAAGAAGGCAGGAAGAAAGAAAGGACAACAGGAAGGAAGAAAAATACACCACCTTCTTCCACAGGGACGGCTCTGATGCTAAGCAGGAAATGGCAGCAACCATCCAGCAGTTACCCAGACTGCCTTGGTGCAGGTCACGAGTGCTGATGCCATCGACAAACAGACGGGGGTCCTTACAGATCTCCTAATGTGTAAGCACAAGAAAAAAGAAGATACATGAATAGTGTGTTTCTAGATTTTATGGCCCACTTTGAGGCAGCAACTGTTTCCGACTAACATACATTTGATTTTTTTCTTTCAAAATAAAATATAGATCGACTAAAGAGAAGTTGTGGGCCAAAAATCAAATCAAACAATGAGCTGAAAGAAGCTAAAAAAGCAATCCAGACTCTTAGTAAGGTTGTTCACATCTGAAATGGAGAATATGTTTTGAGGGAAATTGAATACGAAACCAAATAACCTTTTCTGACAAAACGTCATTATGTAGTGGTTTTAAACCAGTAAATGAGTGGTTCTGAAAACCCAAACAATGAGCTACAGGCTTTAAATAAACTGTGTTGAATAACTGCAGCAGTCAGTAATGACACAGTGTTTTATGAGTCCTTCGCGCTGATTCAGGGTGTCAGCGCTCTGCTGAGGAGACAGATCCTGTGTAGTGTGGACCTGTTGATCTCCGTTTGGACAGGGTCACGTAACAGAAGAAGTGCTGCTGGACACACACACACACGAACACACACACACACACACTCAGGGAAATACACACTTAGTGGTCCTTAACTCATTAAATGCAACTGTAGAAGAGATATAAACCTGCCTTGTGATCATATCGAGTTCATAACTAGAAGAAGGCCACCTGGATAGAGAAGTGTGTGTGTGTGTGTGTGTGTGTGTGTGTGTGTGTGTGTGTGTGTGTGTGTGTGTGTGTGTGTGTGTGTGTGTGTGTGTGTGTGTGTGTGTCACTCTATCAACCAACTCCCTGTTGATACACACTTTAAATATCTAGGAGCGCATAACCATTAACCCTTTCTCTTCAGCCCGAAGTCAGATAATTCACTGCCAGCAAGTTATCACATAAAAAGCTCTAATTTCTAAATTTGTTGCCAAAATAAAAGCATTCTTTCAAAGTAAAATGTATTTAAAGAAGGACTTCAATTGAGTTGTTTATTAAAAAGTTCCTTAAATATTACCAAAAGACTTCAAAATCAATATTCATCAATGTTTGTCAAAGGATTATCCAGTTGTCCATTTTTGGCCACTTTTCTGGAATCACTTATTAATCAATTAATAGTTAGCTGTTGTAATATTATAACAGCTGGATTATTGTCCCTATGGTTTTTTGTAAGACTTATGTGATTGTCAGACAAGTTAATATATCTAAAATTTAAAGGGTATTCAACAAGCCTTGCAACTCGGTTAACAATTTAGAAGTTATTGCATAAAAAAAAAAAAAAAAAAAAAAAAAGATGAAATTGACAGAAAACTTTGGTGGTGAGGAAAACTTTTAAGAAAAAATGCCATTGCTTTGACTCCCCTTGTGATTCCCCTTGTAATCTCTTTTATGAATGTTTACATCAATGAACTCTTGATTCCTGACTATACAATGAAACTTTTTTGGAATACATGAAATCAATTCAGACAATAAGTAATTGTCCTTGCCTTTGACCTCGTCTTCATAACCTCCATTAAAGGCCATTTGGCTTGCTGTTTATTCTTACGCACAGATACACCCATCTCAACACTGTTCTAAAAACACCTGGGCTATAAAAAATTGCCTTTACAAATAGTGTGTGTGAATACTAACACACACTTATAGAGCAGTCCATCAGCCACCCGCTCACTGAAGGTTAGGGTTTCACTGCATGATGCCTCGCTTTTAATAGCAAGAGCTTTAATTAACATAATCTGGTGGTAATGCAACATACTGAGCCTACATTAGAAGAAGCTTGCTTGGAAATACATATATTTTTAGAATGACTCTTTGCAGTGGTGCGAACCAGGACAATGTGGATAATACTTTTATGCAGACTCACCCTGGGCCTCCTCCAGGTCAGGCCCGGCGGGGGCTCCCTCTTATAGAAGAGGGACTGAGCGGTGGTGGGGAAAAGAGGATCTTTGAAGAGCGCACCTCGACGCAGGCAGGCTCGCCTCAGTTTGTGGAAGTTTTGACCCTGAAAAGTGTGCACTCGTTCAGGCATCGTGACTGGAGAGAAGAAGAAAATGGAAACATTAATATTTCAGAGGGGAATGCCCACTTAGTTATACACAGGGTAGCATTGGCATGATTATGAAACAACATAATACCTGATATGACTTGTATTTTTTAAAGATTAGAGGCTTTTAAAACTAATGCTAGTAACAGAAAGGCCTTCAGCACAACAACAACAACAACAACAACAAAAAGGTAGTTTTGGGGGTATTGGCAAGTCTGCTAGTCCATCCTACTGCTTAATTTATTAGCCTCCCCAAAAACCAGAATGGTATCTTCCTCCCCAAAATAGTGACCTACAACTTATAATAGGCCTATATATGATGGCGGCCACTTGCAAATACAAAATCAAAGGATAAAATAGATTTTATGTAAATTATATTAAGCTAGAATGTTCTGAACGCAGAATACAACAAGAGCTAGCAGAGACTTTTTGCCAAAGCTAGCAAAATGTCAGCAGTGCTTTTTCATCACTCATAATAGGGCTTAGGACTTTATTGTTACTTATTACATTTAATAAAAAATAAAAAATAAATAAGTAAACAAAATAAAATCGTTTTCTGCTAATAAATAATTGAGGGGGGCTGCCAGCCAAGCTGATGCTAATGTCAGTGCAGCTTTTCTATATGTCAAGTTTCCATCAATGTAGTGATTCAGGCCATGCAGCAGTGATAGCATCATATTGCTTACAGGTTAGGTAGTTTAAAGCTGTGCAAATATAATAACTTATATTTTTTTCTTACTGGAATGAGAGGGCTACTCTCCTTACTCTGTGAAAATAACACGGTGAACAGTCACATGGCCACTCATGTATGTGAGTTTTGACCCACACAAAGACAGCTGTTGTTCTGCTGTAAATACTTCAGCCTACAAAAATACCTCTGTTTAAATAACCACCTTAAACACTCTTCAGATTGTTGAACTTTAAACATATTAAACACATGTTGTTTATCAAGACACAGTCCTTCACAGAAATATTTTCATGTTGTGTAACATTAGTCTCCCACTCCTTTATACTTGTGTTCCTTTCATTCACAGTCCTTGAATCTCTTGTTAGTATCTATACAAATAAAGACTGATTGATAAAGTTCAGATGAGCTGAATGTTGTATGCTGAAGACAACTAGGGTTACACGTTAACTTGTAGAGCCAGTGTGTGTGTGTGTGTGTGTGTGTGTGTGTGTGTGTGTGTGTGTGTGTGTGTGTGTGTGTGTGTGTGTGTGTGTGTGTGTAAGGTAATGGTACCCTTTTAGTCATCAGTGATATGACCTGCTGGGTTCTCTGAGTCAGCAGCAAGTGTGTATGTGAACATCATCTGATGTGTGTGTGAAGCAGTGTGACTTCTCTGTGTCAGCGGGAGTATGCCAGGTTCAGCGTGCATTAGTGTGTGTGTGTGTGTGTGTGTGTGTGTGTGTGTGTGTGTGTGTGTGTGTGTGTGTGTGTGTGTGTGTGTGTACGTGTACGTGTGTGTTCAGGGTCATCTCAGGGCCTCGCTGTGTGCAGGTGCTTGCGTTTGCAGATGCCGTGCAGGTCAGTGTGATCAATTATCAGCGAGGTTTTGATTTTCTTGTATCAGATTTATGCAGACAAACACAAACAAAAACATGTACCCACATAAACCATTATGTGAATTATCAATCCATCATTAACAAAATGTTTAACAAACCATGACTTAATCTTCAGCATGATATTATGAAGCTCTATGCTGTCTTATCTAAGGATCTCATTTGTATGAATATGTCTTTTAAATTAGAGTATTTTGGGCACATTTACAGTAGTTAAAAGACGTTTAGTTCAGTTTCAGAATAAAGGAATAATTGTATGATGTTGGGCTTTCAAGATTCATGCACAT